TGAAAATCCTTACACCAAGGTGTGTGCACTTCGCCGCCAAAGCTCTTCTGCTTCATTGAATTCACTAAGCTCTTCACTTAGCGCTGGTGGGGGAGTGATAAACAGCTTGCGATTAGATGCAACGAAACGCCTTAATCAGAGTTTGGACGATAATATGCCACGCGCAGTGGCATGCCGGCGACGTCACTCGTCAAAAGCTCATCAAAGTTTAGACGAATCCAAGATGCTGTTGTTGATGGAAGGTATGGAAGAAGTAATAAACGTCGAGTCCCATAGTTTAACGTCCAAAACCAAGGCTGAAGAGAGTGCGGAAAATTTCGAGGATGACGAGGTTTTCACCAGTAACGATAGTAGCGCCAATAACGGTTCCAAAGAAATTAATCACTTCATATTTCATCCAACAAATCCGTTTAAAGATGATGACCACATTAAGGAAGAAATACTTGAATCGTACAAGTCGCCTGCCCCTTCTAATAAATCACCTACAAGTGATGGTATGGCAGTGAATGATGCAGAAGAACTAAGTGATGAAATGGGACTGATGGGAAAGATTCCACAACTTCCTAAGGGGATTGCCAAATTGCAAAATAAGAACATTTTATCGAATTACAACACCGTTAGCAATATAATAGCTAAACAAATTGCAAATGCTTCCAATGTGGGCGAGAGTGTTCGACGTGTAAGCAGTGGCGGTGGTGGGCATTTCAAGGACCTTAAAGAAAAAATTGCTGCGACGAGTAGAAAAGGTGAGTGGGTAATAGAAAAGTATTCCATTTATTAAAACAGTAAAATATAAATCGACTCTTATTTACAGGATTGTCGTTCGAAGAGACAAACATCAGTGCCACTGAAAGGTCGCAGCAAAAGTTGGTTAAAAATTTCAATGAATTTTTGAATTTCGCCTCAATAAATAAAAATCGTATTGCGGATAAATTTTCGACAACATCACCGACGCTGTCAGGCAACAGTGCCACCAGCAGCAACTTTAGCATGAACACTCGCTGTAAGGAAAAATCTAAAACACCTTCGCCCACGCATGCCTACACACAGACAAGCGCAGCAGCTTCCGTCACATCAGCAGCTGCATTCACAACACCACATCCACTTGTGCATCTAACTCGAAGCGGTTTTGTCTCCTCCCTTGACGAATCAGATTCATCGTCTGTGCCTGATACCACTTGGAGTGGCTCCACCGCGGCGACAGCAATACAACAAGCAAATAATGCCAGCAATAATAGTTTGCAATCGGAGCTTGCATCGCTTGGCTCTTCGGCGGCCCCAACACCCGACCGCACACCAACCTACGAACGCAAAGCTGACACAGCGGAAGAACGTGAACTATATGCAAGTTGTTTACGGGAGGAGGCGCGCACACCCATCAAAAAGCCGCCAGCAGAACCAAGTATAACGCCCGATGATAGTCAAGATCAAGAGTATTACCCAATGACAACAGCCATTACACGCGAATTGCGCTTGGAAGCTGATAATTTGGACCGACAGGTATTTGGCGATCCTGTTGGCCTGCCGCCATCTGTCAATTGTGGCATTGAGTATGAAAAACTGGATAAAGACTCCTTGGACTTGGTAGATGATCTGAAAGAAAATGAAATAGTTGCATGTCCTGATATAAGCGAGCTCCTTATACGCCGTCGAAGCCGAAATAGTCGCACAAAAAGCAGCATAGAACCTTTGCAGCATGTGTCCACCAGCACAGCATGGCTCGATGTAGATGAGCTGCTTAGCGAGGCAATTGATAACAACTATAATGACGGCCAAGTAAATGGTATCGCTGAAACCACTGCATTACCAGTGCAAAACATGCTCAATCCCTTTGTCGATACAACCACGAATTTGCGAATAGATGGCGTGACAGGTGTACTGCCCAACAGTAGTAGTTTGCCAGAAGTATTGGTGCCGATTTCCACAGACACCGCCAATGCATCGCCTGTAGAGTTGGCCACAAATGCAGTTGATGAAATTTCATTCGCTAAACCAACAGCACGAAATGAAGAAGTGGCGGCGGCTGATGTAAATGCATCGGGTGGTGGTGTCTCACTGGGGCCCACCCCGCCAGTCTTGCCGCCGCCCACAGAATTCGGCGGTGGCAATCCTTTTCTTGTATTTCTCTGTTTAACATTGCTGCTTCAACACCGTCAAACGATTATGAAAAGTGGCATGGACTACAATGAGATTGCAATGCATTTCGATAAGATGGTGCGCAAGCACGATGTGACGCGGGTACTCAATCAAGCGCGTCGAATGTATATCGATTATCTGAAAGTGCAAAATGCCTACAAGCAACGACTACAACAGCAAGCGGCTGAGGATGCGGCAAACAATGATATAAATAGGAATTCAAAGGCGAATGATGCAGCAGTGGCGCCGATACCGCGCACAAGACCAAGTTACTGTGGCACGCTTAGCAGCACAACAGCAAAGTCATAGAAACGAGGGAGGAAGAGAGATTGGACAGTTGTGCGGTGAAAGGGCACAGCTAAAAACAACTATAAAGAGACACCAAAGAACTTTTTGAAAACTAACCCAGATAGGCAGCCACGAATTTGTTTTTGGTATCTAATTTTATTTACTTTTCACGAGAAGTTGAGATTTTACTAGTCTAAATCAAGGTCTAAATTTTATATTGTGTTTTTTTTTAGTTGTTTATCTAAATTAGTTTTAGAGGAAGAAAAGACTTTCGAGGTTTAAATGTTGCAACTGGCAAGAGAAAGTAAGGGAAACTACAAATGTTGAGGCATAAACAATACCTTTAAAGCGAGTTATTGCTGCCTCTTTCAAAACTACATATTCTGAATTATTCTCGCTTTTGCTTGAATATGGATTTTAGTTCACTTATTTCTGACTGCGTTTTTTGCATTACCTTCTCTATCTGCCTGCGCAACAATTTTCTCCGTGCGTTTTTAGAGATTACATTCTCCGCATTGTACTTAATAAGCAGAGTTATAGCACTGCTATGGATTTATGCCCCAGTACGTCGCATTCCATTTGCAAGAATTCGCATAAATATACAACGCTTCTACTTTACAACCGCCTAATATAAATAATTAAAAATAGAACAGAAAAAACGGAAAAATGTGCATTACATATTTAGTGTAAAGTAAGATTTTTCGCAAATTAAAATTCAATATTTTTGATGTGTCCATTAAAAACCCGTAATAACATAAAAACAAAAGAACAAATTTCGATATAAATTATTTAAATTCGCTTAAATTGGATAAATTGACTAGGAAATAGAAATTTCAATTGATAAATAATAAAAGTATTGAATAAGACTTTAGTCTATTGGTTAACTTTATCACATATATTCTGTATGGTAAATAATAAGCAACTAATAAATATTTAATTTAACATAAAATTAAACAAATCGAATGTGGTGGTGCTAATCTTTGGCAGCAATTATGTGTGATATGTTAATGCTTTTTTTTATATTTTTTTCAGACAATTAATACTACAGGCTTTGGCGGCAAAGTTATTCAAAGAGCTGTACACGTAAAACGCGTAATCCAAACGTTGATGGCGATTAAAAAAAATCGTCCTGGACAATGATGCACGTTTTTACCTAAACGGATTCGTTAACAAGAAAAACTGCACCCATTTGATTTGGTTTTTAGGCTGGTGGATTCGTCGCACCGTACTTTTCCGATATTTATGCCGACAACGGCCCTATCGTGAACATCTGCGGTCTTATTGAATTAGTCTATAGTTTACATGTGAGATTTATTGAAATGTTTGCTTTATTTCCAAGCTGCATGAACGATTTGGCATATGCTGATTACTGTAAACCCTCACTCCCTGGCTGCATAAAATTTTACTTTAGACCGATAGCGCGAGTTCTTTCCACAATGAAACAGACGTGTATATTATTTTTCTTTTCAGCCGCATGCTAGTACCTGTGCATAACATCAGAAACTACATTTAGGACTGGGAGTCTACTCAAATTTTTGTATATGCGGATACTCGAATATCTCATAAAAAGGGGTATTCCCGGATAAGAAAAGAGAACGGATATTAACAAAATATCCCAATCTTACACGGATGCACAAATATCCGAAGGGATATGCGAATAATCCCAGCCCTTTATGGATGCCAAGTCAAAGGATCTCTTTACCCAAGAACCTTCCATGCATAGGTACATACATATTTTTTGGGTTTAATTAAACCAAGTTCATTAGAAAGCTCGTATTGTAACAGTATACAACTTTTTTTTGGGGAATGATGCTGGAGTGACAATCCTTGGCCCAGATATAAATCTGGGCCGTTCCGCTGGCGTATGTAGAAAGCAGGGCAATCTATCCTGTTCGATATCCCTCTTCCATATCTTTGTTCTAATTCGTCAAAGTGTCTGCGTCGTATAAAAGAACGGGCACAATATAAGATCTGTAAATCGTGTGAAATTGGCTTCTCAGTTCCCTTTATAAAAAGGTATTCCTTTAAGGAACGCACTTCGATCAGGAGATCTATTTTTCCCTCTTGCTCCTTACTGCACCTTGCTCAACCCTAGCTCCCTTAGGAAATGCAGTAGGTTGTTTGGTGTCATCGAGTGCATGCGAATGCATGGCTTCCCTCCTCTCCTCGACACTGCATAACATTCGAATGGCATGGCTCAGAAGTTTCAGCTGTCCTGCTACGGAAACGAGTTTATGTAGGTGACTTCTTTGTCTGCAATGACCTGTTAAGATATCTATTCGAATTATTAGTTTGTGTTTCGGGAAGTCAATAAGCTAATCATATATTTTCCGATTGCATCCTTCCAATACTACTCCGTGTATTATCGGGTTATTCACCGTCGGAATTGGTTCGCCGTCGTCGTGTGTGTAGTCTAACCTTCCTCTTAACTTGCGTTGGTTGCGCATCTCGCACGTATGTAAGTGTCTCGTTGCTCACTAAGCTGCCTCGAAAAAAAAAATTGCACCGGGGACAACATAATAGGATCAGAACTTTGTTAAATATATTGTAAAGTACCCATGAAACATTTTATGACAATCGATGAAGATTTGTGTTATTACGGTATTCAAAATAATTACGAAACACACATCTTTGAGGTTACACTCAAATCAAAAAGATAATTTGAATTAAGGAATATCGAAAAAATAACGTTCCATTTTGTGTTCGTATTATTCTCCCACTTGAGTAATTATCTCACGCAAATAAAACGACCTTTTGTATAGAGAAAATACTTCTCTTTTGTAAGTTTTTTTTCTTTATTAAATCACAAATCAAGGTTAACAAAAAATTTGTGCTATTACAGCTTGGTAAAATTACTAGGGCATATACTGAATTGAGGCAAAAAAGTTATAAGAAAATTAACACACAAAAAAAATTGCTTGTACGGAATATAATCATAGACTGATCTCAACCACCTGAATGTTTCATTAAATATTCATCTCACTTGAGGAAATTTAATAAAAAAAATATTTTCTAACTATCGAAAGGTAAGTATGTGAATGATTATTTATTATTTTAAAGCGTTGCTTCGAAAAATGTAAGGGTCGAAAATTTTCCTTTGGATGATTTTTGAAAATGTATAAACACGAGCGGCCACTTTTGCAGCGTATGGAACTAAAAATAGTATAAAATTTACCACAGTCAAATTGATGCTGAAAACTGTTTCAAAAAGTAGATATGATCGGTGTATATAATGTATGAAAAAAAAATTACCGTCGAAACAACGCATTAAAAGCGCTTAGAAAACTATTAACTAACACTCAAACTTAAAATACAAATATGGTTAATCGTCAAGCGGAAAACAAAAAGTTACAAAAATCTGTGGATATAAACAAAAACACTTGTACATAACTTAAAGAACAAATGTATATATTCCATGCGTACAATTAAAAATTATATTTCTTCTTTAGCCGTTCCCGTATGAGCAGACCTTTGATGAGCTTCTTCCAATTACCGTAGACACGTGCTTCATATTTTTCATGCTCTTTCTTCTCCTGCTCTTCCTGATCTTGATACCATGCAGCGGTCACTTGATCGCCGAACTCCTCGCATACAACAAAACCATCGAACAGTGGATGGCAGGCGCCTTGATGGAAATCAAAACCAGTCACGGCTTGCGCGCAATCGATGCCTAACTTCTTGCAAATACGATTCAAGCCAGGTACTGAAAAAGAAGGAAATTCATTGAGCGACCAACATTTTGGTTGGCCTTAAATCGCAACTTACAGCGTAAATGCACCGTCTTCTTGGGTAACATGCACTCCTTGAATAACTCCACATTACCGTAGGCGTTACGCGGCACTAAACCATTTTCGGCTGTTGGCGGCTCGTAATCCTCCGTTTGCCAGTATCCGAAAATCTCAAGCGGTTGATCTTTTATAACTGTTTGCGTCAACTGTGGTGTGGCTATACTTGTACAAAAACGAAAATTTGCTCATCTCAATTCTTAAACTTACCCGATCCCACTTAGGTCGCGCCTTTACAATTTTATACGGCTGCTCGCCCAGCTTAACAGTGCGCGCCTGCTTCAGCCAAATCTCACGTGAGTGCAGAGTGTGTACACACTCTCGCGCATAGACCGCTTCGCCGCGTATGAAGCCCAATGTTGGTGGATCCGGTGGATAAATCGCTTGGAATTTGAGCAAATGACGCTCGAGTGCATATAGCGGGTGATCTTTAAAGTCGGCAATCGCCGTGGGCATTGGCTTCTCCTCGTGTATGCGACGCATCTCTTGATCCTCGCGAATGTCGCGCTGTGTGCGCTGACCATAGTACGGTCCAAAGGCTGCCTCCAGCCATGCGCGTTCGACTCGCGACTTGCGTACAGTTGTTGCCCAATTGGGACAATAACGAGCAGTCACGTCCTTGATACTCAAATCATTCTGGAATGCGAACACATAGGCGAAACTGGAGGAGGCGGCTTTCTAAAAAATTAAAAGAAAAATTCATTTACAGTTTATGAAAAAATTTAGTCGTTTTTTTTTTGTATTAAGTACTCACCCTTATCGCCTCCACGGAATGCAATTTGCCTTTGAACAACTCTATGCAAACCCACTGCTCTTCCGCATCGGACCACACTTCCACCCAGATGTCTGCTGCTGTCGGATTACGCTTCACCGCGCCACCCTTGCTTTCTTCTTCATCGGACGACAAAACACGTCTGTCTATGGCCGCCTTCTTCACCGATATTTTTGGTGCCTTCTTTGGCTGCTTCGGCGGTGATGGCTCAAAATCTTCATCGGATTGGTCTCGCGAATGCGATTTCTGCTTTAATTTTTCCAATTTTGGTCGCTTCTTTTTACTCACCTTCTCTAAGCAATCATCAGCGCCGTCCAACTGTGGTACCGTTGGCAGTTTTTCTTGCCCACCTCCCACCACCTCATTGGGTTTCTGACGCGAGCGTAAAATACGCGTTGCGGCCGGCTCAGTTGCCTTGGTGTGTTGGTTTAGCAAAAAATCAGTGGAAATTTGCACTTTCTGTACGGGGCTCTTTGAGTTAGGGCGAGTTGAATTTGCGCGTTTTTGCAGTTTTTTTTCGCCTACTGTCGACACTGGAAACTTATTTCTATAGTTAGTGCTCTGCAGAAAAGTAGGAGAGATATGTAACTTTGGAGATTTGCTGCGCGAGCGTGCACGTGGCGGTGCTGTTGTGCTGCCGCTGGCACGCGGCTGATTTTCACGCTCACTAAGTACGGCATTATTCACTATTGTCTTTCCAGATTGAATGATGATTTTAGGTATTTTAGGCGAACCAATTTGTATTACTGGTTTCGCGCTTTTTGTTGTTGCTGCTAATGCTTTTTCGGTTGAGGCTTTGCGCGTACGTCGCGCGATGGGTGTGGCTTCCACGATGAGACCAGGTTTATCAGCGGACAAATCACCAGCATCCGGTTTGGCAGCGGCTTTTTTGTCCCTGTTCAGTCGAGACAGTTGTGGCTTCCTTTGAGTGAGCTCTGCGTGTTTTACAGTGTCTTCACGGTTGGAGTTGTAAATTTTTATCTTATCTTCTTCTTTTTGAGGTTCCTTCTCATATAAAACGGCTTTTTTATTTGTATCTTTAGTCTGTTGAACTTCAGGCGAGCCGGACTTAAGTTCGCTCCTAAAATTTTCGCTGTCAGCTAACTTTTCGACTTGTTTCAATTCAGCTAACTTGGCGCTGGGCGCCTTTTTGTGTTCTCTGTGAGACTTCTTCGGTGGCTGCTCTTTTTCTTTTTCAGTGCCCTTATTTCGTACAGCGCGCTTTTTATCGGAGGTGTTGTCCTTTGAAGCATCCATCTCCTCTCGCTCTTTTTCTTTAGCGCCCCTTCCTTGAATTTTTTCTCCTTCTTTACCACTGATTTTATCCCCTTTCCCTTTCCCATTTTGCTTCTCCTCATTCACATTTTTTTCCCCACCCTTCAACCCCCTTTCCCTAACCGCTTTGTCAGCACTTCTAACATGCAGCTTTTCTATCTTCTCACTAGCTGCTTTGACACCGCTTTCCACCCTCGCTTTCTTCGCATCCACTGCCTCGTCTTCCTTCTTATCCCCATCTCGTTTCATTTTTATCGTGAGCAAGTCCGATTGCGCCGGTCGCAGGGGCAATGGCTGCATATTTACGATCAGCCGACACTGTAGTCCCATTGCCCGCAATAATACTACAAATATGAATACAAAATCCTGCTTGCAGCTTGCCTCCTTCCGCTTAATTTGCGCCAAAAGCTCCCGCTTCACACGCCTCCTACTCTTGCGAACTTTTTCGCCATACAAATTCGGCGAAGCTAGCTTTACCGCTGTCTTATACCAGGTGACCATTGATTGAAAATATTTGATTTCGGTGCCACGCTCCGGCGGATAGGCGTTGCTGCTAGGCAGCAATTTCAGCGCAGCCTGCATCAGCGGTGTATCGTTGAGCATGCGATTGTAACGGTAACTGCGTGCAAAACAGCATAGCAAACTGGTCTTGTGCAAATGAAAATAACGTTCCTTCAAATCTCGATTTAATTTGCGTTTTAATGCTAATTCTAGATCCTGTTGTTTTTTTTCTTTGTTGCGACGTTGCTTGGAAGGTATCTCCACGTGAATTTCCAAACCTTCAGTGGTGTTGAGTAGTGCGCTGGTGTCGTATGTGGTGGAATGTGTCGCAGAGGTTGTGTCCTCTGAAATAATAAAAGCAAAACATACCCGTGGAAGGGAAGGAAGCAAGTGTGAGTGACGTTGGGATTTCCGTTTTTCAATATGCAGTTTTATTAGTAGTGTTAGCAGTAGTAGTAGTAAGTTATGTTATTTTATTTTGTATTCATTAGTTGTGAAGCAACCGATACTTGCTTTGTTAATGATAGCGAGTGGCAGCGTCAGCGAAGGCGTTGATGGGCATACAGACAAAAGACAGGCAATACATGATAACACGAAAAGCTACCGCGACAGGCACTACCTACCAAAAATTCTGATCCTTCATACATATATATATTTTAAAATACTCAGCTAACGTAGTTTAATCATGACAACGAATCCCGGCAATGTACTGGCTGTGTATACTAATAACCGCTACAGTGGTTAAGCTCCTCCGACAAAGGCAAAACTAACGACGACAAATGTGAATAATGTTCATGAAGACAGAAAACACAATGCAGCAACTGTATGACCTACCCCTTTATCGAAGAAACTTAAACTATCGATGTCTAGCTCCTACAAAATGAATTTAATTAACACACTCCTTAATATTTTCTGTATTCAAGTTTGTTTGCATTTTTATTATCCACTTAAACGTGTGAGTATATGTGTTCGTGTGTGCAAGTGTAATTGTGCGGCTTAAAATCCATTTAATTATTTTCTTTTGTTTTTTTCTTGTTACGCTGTAAATTTTAGTTTTGTAGGGATTTATTTTAAAGTTAACTACATTCATTATTTTTATTAACAGTTATGTTGAGATGTTTCTCATATACGATTTAATATTTGTAGTAACTACATTTGCGCTAAAAGGTAAAACTGATTTTAATACTTCGCCTTCATATTTATATACTTTTTATTATATATATATTTTATTATTATTTAATTGCCTAATATGTAAGTAAGTATTTGTTATGTTGCATATTTATTTATTTCGTTTAGCGGAGTTGTTATAGTTTTGGGAATTATCGCGCACATTCACTGGTCAAACATACTTTTTTATCTTTGCCTAATTTGATTTTTGAATACATAATTTAAAGTAAATTCGTTAACAATCAGTTCGAGTTTAATTAATGATTCTAAATTTGTATGTATGCATGTATGTATATTGTTAAATGCTTAACAAATAAGTTAGGCGTACTAATAATGTTTAGTATTTGTGTTTAGTAACAATTTTTTATTTTTTATTTCTATTGTACACTACAAGAGCACGAATGATTTTTGTGGAAAGCAATAATAAAAACTTGTAAAACTAAAGATATTTTTTTGCAATTTCCGTCACCTATTACAGATTCCGCGAATCTACTGCCCTGTTTCCCATAGAGTATGATTTAAGCATACATACATATGAATCATCGCCTGGGTAAAAGATTGTCGTAAACGCCATTTTGGCGATTTTTAGTTCTAGATGCAGTTATATATTTTGAAATAAGGTCTTTCGATTGGTGTTATCAGTTTTTAGATATCTCTTTTAGTTTCCGAGATATTGACTAAAATTTTTTCGACAATTTAGTAAAAATTTAGTTAGTGATGCAGCCATATTAAACTAATCAATATCTTAAAAATGGCGTTCTCCATTTTTGAATATCACCTTTAGTTTCCGAGATATTGAGTAAAAAAGTGTCGTTAATTTGGTACAAATTTTGATCACATTTTGTCGTATTACATACAAAGTGGCTCTCAAATTGTGGACAAATGACGCTTACGACAAAATTTTACTAATGCCGAATTTCCACTAGGCATTGAAATTACAAAAAATGTATGACATTCACAAATGCCAAGTGGAAATAAACTTAATGACGATTTTTTTAATGTATTGACACGATTATTTTTGAATGCCCGACTTTGTCATTTGTCATTTCTGCCATTTAATGCCTAGTGGAAATCCAGCATAAAGAAAATCCTTCACAAACTCAAAACTAATTAACAATAGACATTGGGCCGTATGAATAAAAACTAAGCAATTGCTTTTTCTTAAAATTTCATACCGTTTACTTCAATTTTGTTTCAATAAATCGAGTAAAATGTCTGATATTTAAGAAAAAGCAATTGCTTATTTTGTATTCATATGGCCCATTAAAAATTAAATAATTTAAGAATTTTGTGAACGAGGACAAAACGAAGTATCTCCTGTCAGCACACAAACAGTC